CTTAGACTGATCTCAAACTCCTGGGCTCAAGTGATGTGTCCACCTCAGCCTCCCAAAGTGCTGGGATTATAGGTGTGAGCTACAGCACCCACCGTGAAATAAATTATAAATATGTTTTCCTTTCTAAGCACAACCGTATATCAAAAATTATAATTTTTTCCTTTTTGTTTTTGAGACAGAGTCTCGCTCTATCGCCCAGGCTGGAGTGCAGTGGTGCGATCTTGGCTCACTGAAATCTCTGCCTCCCAGATTCAAGCAATTCTCATGACCCAGCCTCCCCAGTAACTAACTGGGATTACAGGCGCATGCCACCATGCCCAACTAATTTTTTGTATTTTTAGTAGCGGGGGTTTTGCCATGTTGGCCAGGATGGTTTCAAACTCCTAGCCTCAAATGATCTGCCCACCTCAGCCTCTCAAAATGCTGGGATTACAGGCTCGAGCCACCCTGCCCAGCCTAAAAAATATTTTTTAAAACATTAATGGCCAGCATTTCCTGAAAACTTACAGTTTGTGAGGCACAGTTCTATTAACTTTACATGAATTAACTCAATCCTAAAAATCCTGGGATAGGTAGGTACTATTACTGTCTATTTCAGAGACAGAAACTGATAAAGTACTTTATCCAAGCTAGTAAATGGAAGAGTCAGGATTTGAACCCAGGCAACATTAACTCCACAACCCACATTCTTTTTTTTTTTTTTTTTGAGACAGAGTCTCGCTCTGTCACCCAGGCTGGAGTGCAGTGGCGCAATATCGGCTCACTGCAAGCTCTGACTCCCAGGTTCACGCCATTCTCCTGCCTCAGCCTCCCGAGTAGCTGGGACTACAGGCACCTGCCACCACGCCTGGCTAATTTGTTTGTATATTTAGTAGAGACGGGGTTTCACTGTGTTAGCCAGGATGGTCTTGATCTCCTGACCTCGTGATCCGCCTGCCTCGGCCTCCCAAAGTGCTGGGATTACAGGCATGAGCCACCGCGCCCGGCCCACAACCCACATTCTTAACCACTTCGCAACGAAATACAACTAGGACACTCTTGAGCATATATTTTAATGGCTTTGAAATCAAGTGGACTTAAACTTTACTACAGGCTCAGCCACTTATTAGGTACATTATTTGGGGCAAACTTAATCTCATATCTTAGAGTCTTTATCTATAGAAAGGAGATAATTAAATGGGACAGTGATGTAAAACCATTTAGTAAGTGGTTGGTATAGAATGTATACTAATTATTAAGCCCTTACTATTTTTATTTTTATTTTTACTACTTTCATGAATATACAAGAGCAATCAATCCTACAGTGTCTAATTTGGGGATTCCAAGCTAAAACATCAAAAGGCCCTCTTTCTTCATCCGTAATTCTTTCCTTCCTATTCTTCCAGAAATATATGTACTATTCCCAATAATCTCATTTTCCATAAGTTAAGAAATATCACATTGGATGAGGTTAGTAGTTAGATGAGTCTTAAATTCTTTGTTCACTTTTTAATTTTTAAAATAACACAGACAGGATCTCCCTATGTTGCCCAGGATGGTCTGGAACTTCTGGGCTAAAGAAATCCTCCCCCCATGACCTCCCAAAGTGCTGGGATTACAGGCGTAAGCCACCACACCCAGCCATCAGTCTTAAATTCTATCACAGGGGTACCTAGTAAGTTTGGTAAGGACAATAGTTATACTCTTGATGACAACTTACAAAGATTCTGGGCATTGCTCAAGCATTTAACATATTTTAAAAATCACCAAAGTAGTTATCTAAGCTTTTATTTAATCTTTTTTAAAAATACTGAGTTCAGGCCTGGTGCGGTGGCTCACACCTGTAATCCCAGCACTTTGGAAGGCCCAGGAAGGCAGATCACCTGAGGTCAGGAGTTTTGAGACCAGCCTGGCCAACATGGTGAAACCCTGTCCCCACTAAAAACACAAAAAATTAGCCGGCCATGGTGGTGGGTGCCTGTAATCCCGGCTACTCAGGAGGCTGAGGCAGGAGAATCACTTGAACCTAGGAGGCGGAGGTTGCAGCGAGCCGAGATCGCGCCACTGTACTCCAGCCTGGGCAATAAAAGCGAAACGCTGTCTCAAAAAAAAAAAAACAAACAAAAAAAAACTGAGTTCATAACATTTCTTGGGCTTTACAAGATAGCTATCTCTTGCTCTTATTTGTCCTTTCACTACTTATTTCAAGCTTCAAATAATTTCTTAGCAGTAGTACTCCCACTTTTTATGATTTATATGGTTACATCATATCCTCCTTCAATCTCCATTTTTCCAGATAAGATACTATTGCTTTTGTAGTCACATGAAAGTCTCTCCATTTTCTCCATCTACTTATAATTTCTCTGGACCTTTTCTACTTTTGAAGCATTTTTCTTGAGATAATTTGGTGGGAAGAACACTGGGCTAGGAGCCAGAAGTCCTCACTCTGCAATCTCATCTCTCAGATTCTTTATCTGAGAGGATTGCACTTGATAAATTTGTAATAGGCTCCTTTATATCTCTAAGCCTCATATATCTAAGACTCTGGATCTTCCAACTAAAAATCATTTGGTATTCTAACAATTCCCCTCAATTTTTTACTCCACTTAGCCAAAGAGGGGCAGGAAGATCAGATTGAAGGGCAGAGGAAGACACAACAATCAGGAAGCTCAGAGCTACAGAAGGAAGACATGACATTTTACGAATCAACGGAAAAAGATTCAATAAGAGAAATCAGACACCAAAAAAAGGAAAAAAGTCAGAGAAACACATGGCCTAATTCTAACCTCATCTCTACACATCTATTTGAAGGGGGAATAAGAAATACAAAAATGTGTATATTATTGTCCTTACTAAAGTTATTAGGTGTCTCTGTTACAGAATTTTTTTTTTTTTTTTTGAGACGGGGTCTTGCTCTGTTGCCCAGGCTGAGTACAATGGCGTGATCTCGGCTCACTGCAACCTCTGCCTCCCAGATTCAAGTGATTCTCCTGCCTCAGCCTCCCGAGTAGCTGGGATTACAGGTGCCCACCACCATGCCTGGTTTATTTTTGTATTTTTAGTAGAGACAGGGTTTCACCAGGTTGGCCAGGTTGGTCTGAAACTCCTGACCTCAGGTGATCCACCTGCCTCGGCTTCCCAAAGTGCTGGGATTACAGATGTGAGCCACCATGCCCGACTTCCGTTACAGAATTTAAGACTGACCTAACTACTAACCTCATCCAATGTATTTCTTAACTTCTTATGGAAAACGAGATTATTGGAATAGTACGCATATTTCTGGAATAATAGGAAGGAATGAATTATGGATGAATAAAGAGAACCTTTGGCAGCAGTGGAGTTTATCCAACCCTCATTTCTGCCTCAGAGAAGCAATGCAACTCTGTGCCAAGATATATATGTCTATATCGCTATGCTGTTGATAAAACGGCCTATGACAGTGCTTTGAAGAAAATAGGCATTACGCAGATATTTGATGACTAAATTAATGTCCAGCTGAACTGGAAGCCCTCATAATGCTACTAGTACTGCTACATACCGGATAATATGACAGTCAAGGCCATGGGAATTATATGGCATTGGCTGCCCTGGTTCCATGGGGAGACTGAGTAAACTGGGCGGAGGAGATTTGGCCTAATGGCATTAAGCTCTGACGATACTAGAAGCAGCCCTCAGAAGGAAAAGATAAATGGGCTATCTCTAAACCACCAGAGCAATATCGGAATATGTATGAAAATCATTTCCTACCCCGTGTCAGGGTCAATAAAAAGCACTATGTTTTCTCATACTGGCTTCTGGAGAGTTAGAGCTTCTTGTCCTAGGACTGGTTTGGGACAGGCGACTGGTTTACGACAGGTTTGGGGAGGAATACATCGACAAAGGGTTAAGGTTGTTGGGCAGCCCAGCCTAAAGGTGGTGTTTCTCAGCGTGTGGTCCCTGGACCAAGAGTGGGGGTGCCTGCTTAAATCCCAGACTCAGGGACTCATCACAAATCTCTAGAATCAAATTTATGGAAGAGGTGCTACGGTACTGCAACCTTATTACTAAGGAACAATCTTCTGTTTCGGAACTATGGCCTAGGATTTGGGGTTTCAGGTGGGGGCCTTGAGCGGAAGTCCTCTGACTCTGGATTCATCACATCCGACAGACATTACTACAACACTTTGTTTTGGAGACCACTAAAAAAATACCTCAACTTCTCACAGGGCGAACAGGAACAAAACTAAGGACTCTGGAATGTATTTTCATAAACTGGTTAAACACTAGTTCCTTTACAGCCTTGTTTATTACGTTAGTTTGTTCACTAGGTTCTTATTTAAAAATAAATCTCTTCAACCGAAGAATTTTCAGAAAGAATCACAAACTCCAAAACAGAAGAGGTTTTCTCATAGTACAGAACTGGGCTTGTAAACCTGAAGACACTGCTATAAAAAGCAAAGTTTTATTTAAAAGAAAATTGCTGGTTAAGGCTTTCCCCAGCGCTTTTGCACTCAGAGCCACGAATGAAAGCTGGCAATTTGCGAGTGGCAGGGAAGGAAGACGCGGAAACAGGGCTGAAAAGACCGGGCAAAATGCACCCGGCTCCAGAGTTCAGGAGGAAGTCCCACCAACTACCTAATTTTTAATGGAGCCAATTAATTGCCAGAAGAACCGCGTCTGCAAATGTTTTGCCAGTCAACACTCCAGGTTCTCGCCATTCCTCTCGGGATGAACCACCCGAGGCCTGCAAAAAGCAGTCAAGTTATACTTCAGCTGTGCCCACCACCTAGGCGCAGCGTCGCCTCCCTCCCCAGGATCACCAGACTCTGCCCTCCGCGCGGAAACAGGACCCCATCACGCCGGTGCCGACAGGTTCCTCGCGCCCAGCTTAGCCCCGCGGCCTTTTGACTTGGGGGTCCGAGCCGCCGCCGCGTGCGGAGGAGAAGCCCCCTCGGCCACAAAGGGGAGACTCGGGCCACGCCCGCCACCACACTCGCCCTGCCCGGTCTTCGCGCCCGAAACCGTCCCGCGCCGCCACTTACTCGTCGCTCCCCGCCGCGCTGTCGCGCTCGGGGATGGAATCCGCCCGGGAGGCGCGCGCAGACCGCGCAGCCAGAAGCCGCAGCCGGGACCGGCTGTGCCGCAGCGGCGCGCGCCCCCCGCCCCAGCCCGCGCGGCCACGCGGCTGAGTCACCGAGCGCTTCACGTTAAGAGTCCCCTCCGCGCGTGGCACGCCGGGAAGGCCGTGTCGGGGGACCCCGCCCGGGGCCGCACAGTAAATGGGAGTCGCCTTTCCTCCAGTCCACTCCGCACCCAACCGCAGCGGGCGCACTTTTCTGAGTTGCGCATACCCTCTCAATTATTAAAGGTTGCAGACGGAAAAGTTAGTAGTTTTCGGAATTGTAGAATGCGCTCGCGGAGCGCCAGGACGGCTGATACTTACCCGAAAATGTGGAACCCTGATCTCCCCATGCTTGGAGCGGAATTGGGGGCAGCGTAGTAAGAATACTGGAGTTGCTTAAACGCATTTGCTCGAAAGTCACTACCCTGGACATACATTCTGGCCAAAAGAAAGGGGGAAACCTCCACGTTTTTTTCAAATATTGAGTTTCATGAAGGTACCTGCTATGACGAAGTTATATTACAAATTTTAAATCCACCGGAAGCAAGTTACTGGGAAAACTGTGTTATGAGTAAAATATTTCAGCATTCAAAAAACATCTATGTGTGGTCCATGTCCTATAAACCGAATGCTGGAAAACCCAAAAGGAAGTTCTTATTGTCATGGTTTCTAGTGGCTTCTGTACTTTTAAAAATTACACTAGGCCGGGCGCGGTGGCTCACGCCTGTAATCCCTGCCCTTGGGAGGCCGAGGCGGGCGGATCACCTGAGGTCGGGGTTTCCAGACCAGCCTGGCCAACATGATGAAACGCCGTCTCTGCTAAAAATACAAAAATTAGCCAGGCATGGTGGCGGGCGCCTGTATGATTCTAGCTGCTCGGGAGGCTGAGGCAGGAGAATCACTTGAACCCAGGAGGCAACTGGGAAGTTGCAGTGAAGTTGCCTCTCAAATATATATATATATATGTCTCTATATACTAATTAAATATACTAATTATGCAAGCTATTGTAAATTGTTGTTGAAAGCTATATAAACTAATAATAGCACAATTTTTAAAATTCTGGGTCGATTTTCCTTTTCCTTACAAGAGTCTCTAAAAACTAATTTGGAACTAAGGATTAAAATTGGTGTTGAAGTGGAAAGAATGTAAGAAAATAGTTTGACTCATTTCAGTGGGTTTCACATGGTTAACGGATACTTGTATAGCAAACTTGTTTTATCAGGGTCAAAAACTTTAATTTTCAAAACTGAAGACATAAGTTGTTTCATTATAATTTGGTCTTAGAGGCATAGAGGGTCATTTTCCATTTCTGTTCTCCCTCGTTTATGATTGTAAAGTATGCAAGACTGTATTGTGTTTATCTCAACATGGGCTAGGCTGTGAGGCTGCACACTCGTCATCTGTAAGTCAGTCTCACGTCCCCATGGTGACTCAGCTTCCCTGTTGCTTGCGTCTCTGGCTCTGCCATCCTAGCACTTCCGGGCTGGCAGAAGAGCTAGACTGGAAAATCCTGTAAGGGCTCTCCTTTGCCTCTGCCAGAAGTGAGTGGCCTTTTCACTTCTGCTGATGTGTTTCACTGTCCTGAACTAGTCACCCGACTCAACCTGACTGACTCTAAGAAGGCTGTGAGATATAAATTCCTGCATGCCTGGAGAAAAGGAATATGAAAAAAGATTTGGTAAATACATGGCTATAAACCAATTTGAGTGAGTTATAGTCTCCAAACTTTACAATAGTAGCAGCATAGAGGATTGTTCAAACTAATGCCTTTATTTCCGTTGTTATAAAGTACAGTGTTACGGCCTTTGAGTCAAAGAAAAAAAACCCTTCTGATATTCCTGCAAAACAGTTCTTGAAACAAATTCTTCCTTTCTGGAAAGATTCCTTCCTGCAGATTTGTATATTGTCTTTCTTTTTTTTTTTTTTTTTTTTCTTATTGTGGAGAACGGAGTTCTTATTCTATTGCCCACGCAGGTCTTGAACTCCTAGGCTCAAGCTATCCTCCAGATTCTGCCTCCCTAAGTTTGGGGATTACCAGCATGAGCCACTGCACTGGCTGCAGATTTGTGGTTTACAGAAATCTGGCCTGAAGTTTGGAGAATCAGGCTAACTACTGGGTCTTATTTTTTTTTTAAACACTTTCATTTTGGAAATTAAAGCATACAGAAAGATATAATAAACACTTGTTATCCATCATCCAAAATAAATAAGTGATAACATGACTTTTAATATATAGTTAATGGTTCTACTTTTGGCTAAAATTTCATATAATGAACAGCGTATCAGACTGGGTACCTTTTTTGGGCAGACTTCAAGGAGACAGGATATGAGAAATGTATATTCACAGAAAGCATAGGCGTTTGCTGATTTTTATCATTTTATTTCTAATTTAATGTAGGTATCTCAAGACCCTGAGTCTCTGAGATGTATTTCTATCTGAAATCAAAACCTTTTTTTTTTGAGACAGGGTCTCCCTTTGTTGCCCAGACTGGGTGCAGTGGCGTGATCACCACTCACTGCAGCCTCGACCTTCTGGTCTCAGGTGATCCTCCCATCTCAAGCTCCAAGACAGCTGGGACTACAGTCATGAACCACCACACCCAGCTAATTTTTAAAATTTTTTTGTAGAGATAGGGTGGGAAGGGGGAGTCCTAGGCTCAAGCAATCCTCCCAGTTTGGCCTCCCAAAGTGCTGGGGTTACAGGCATGAGCCCCTGGGCCCCCTACTGAAACCCTTTCTAATGTCAAATTGGTAGACTTGGAGTTTTCAATTGACATAATGGCAATATAGTTCATCTGATTTGCTGAATTATTTAAGTCTCCTTAAACAGCATCTACTACCAGTAAAATTACAAAGCACTCATCCCAACATTTTGTATCATTTAGGCTTCTTAATAACCATAGAAGATAGATTTTATTACTCTTATTTACAAATGAGGAAATCAAGACATAAGCATGAAGTGTTTAAGGTCATTAAACTACTAACGAGGTGCTTGTGGGCTGAGAACTCAGGTCGTCTAATTTCAAAGTTCTTGTTCGTCATACACTAAATAGTGACAATTCCAAACAACTAATTTAAGGTTGACTCTTAAGAATAAAAATATTTTTAAAATAATAGCTATTGTAAATTGTTGTACAAAAAGCTAATTCTCATTTCTACTGACTAATCTTATGTAGTAAATGTAAAAACTAACCAAAAATCCCCAGATTTTGAACTATCTCTCTCAAAGTAATTACATTTGCCAAATGTTGGTTTTGTTTTCTGAGACAGAGTCTTGCCCTGTCACTCAGGCTGGAGTACAGTGGTGGGATCATGGCTCACTGCAACCTCAGCCTCCTGGGCTCAAGTGATCCTCCCACCTCAGCCTCCTGCGTAGCTAGGACTACAGGTGCAGGCCAACACACCAAGCTAATTTTTTAATTTGTAGAGAGGAAGTCTCACTATATTGCCCAGGCTGGTCTCAAAGTCCTGTGGGGAGTCAGGATAGAGGAGTCAGGAAATGTGGAAATGTGTTACCCTGGGTTTCGGCGAAGGCTGGGCGTAAACTGATAATGTTTATCTCTTGTTATTCCTGTTACTGGTTTACGAACGGGCTCTGGCCTTCCTATCCCATGTACCGGCTCTGACAGCTCACATGACCTCTTGTTTATGAACATGCAAGTCTCATTCTTAAACCTAATACTGAGAATGCCTAGAAGTTTTCTTTTCTTTTTCAGCCTTATGTGAGTGTTGTTGTTGATGATGTTTTGAGATGGAGTCTCCCTCTGTCGCCCAGGCTGGAGTGCAATCTCTGCTCACTGCAACCTCCACCTCCCGGGTTCAAATGATTCTCCTACCTCAGCCTCCCAAGTAACGGGGATTACAGGCACACGCCACCGTGCCCAGCTAATTTTTATATTTTTAGTAGAGATGGGGTTTCACCAGGTTAGGTCAGGCTCTTCTCCAATTCCTGACCTCAGATGATCCACTGGCCTCTGCCTCCCAAAGTGCTGGGATTACAGGCGTGAGCCACCACTCCCAGCCACCTTATATGGGTTTTAAATAAACAGTATTTGAAAAAGAAAATAGGCAGGACACGGTGACTCATGCCTGTAATCCCAGCACTTTGGGAGGCCAAGGTGGGAGGATCACCTGAGGTCGGGAGTTTCAGACCAGCCTGGCTAACATGGTGAAACCCTGTCTCTACTGAAAATACAAAAAATTAGCTGGATGCGGTGGTGCGCCTGTAATCCCAGCTACTCGAGAGGCTGAGGCAGAAGAATCGCTTCAACCCAGGAGGCGGAGGTTGCAGTGAACCTAAGGCAGGAGAACTGCTTGAACCCAGGAGGCGGAGGTTGCGGTGAGCCAGGATCACACCACTGCTCCAACCTGGGCGACAGCGAGACTCTGTCTCAAAAAAAAAAAAAAAAAAGATTCCAATAACCCACTGAGCCACCACAGAAAGCTATGAGATATTTATTTAGTAGATAGGTAAACTTTATTTCGCAAGCCCAAGGGGATAATTTACTTTCCATCCCCCTCTCTTTCAAAATAGAGAACCTCCAACAAATGGTATATAAAGGAAAACAAAGCAAACAAAAGAGGGAAACTTTGCAGTTTATTAACTCAAGCATGAAAGTACAGAAAATAAGCAGGGCTCAACATACTTGGAAAAGTAAGTCTGAATTTATTGCATTAAAACATGGTGTTGCACTAATCCGGCCGGGCGCAGTGGCTCACGCCTGTAATCCCAGCACTTTTGGAGGTCGAGGCAGGTGGATCACGAGGTCAGGAGATCCAGACCTTCCCGACTAACACGGTGAAACCGCATCTCTACTGAAAATACAAAAAATTAGCCGGGCGTGGTGGTGGACGCCTGTAGTCCCAGCTACTCAGGAGGCTGAGGCGGGAGAATGGCGTGAACCCAGGAGGTTAAGCTTGCAGTGAGCTGAGATCACACCACTGCACTCCAGCCTGGGAGACAGAGTGAGACTCTGTCTCAAAAAATAATAATAATAATAATAAAAAGAAAGCATTAATAAAAC